GCACTTTCTTTTTTCTCTTTAATCAGAAGTTGTTTCAAGTTATTGTTTGAAACATATGACCAGGAGAAAATAGACTTGAAATGATAACAGATGAAAGTGGAAATGTAGGATTACATTGCACATTAAAGACAAAATAATAACTACACAAATACACAATGAAGAAACAGAAGTTGTTGAAGATTTTCTATGCCTCATTTCAATCATCATTTACACTAAGAAATCAAAAAGAAGGTTGGAAATTGGAAGAGCAGGTATGAAGGAAATAGACAAGATCCTTAACAGTAAGGATATGTTACTGGAGATCAAGGCCCAGGTCAATCATACTTTAGTATTCCTTATCAGTATTCCTATATAGTTGTGAAATCTGGGCAATGAAGAATAGCAGTGGGGGAAAAACTGATTCATTTGAACCACTGTGCTGGAAGATTGTTTTATGAGCATTTTTGGCAAGAAGATAAATTAGTGGATTCTAGACCAAATCAATCCTGATCTGATCATACCTTGGACATCTCATGAGAAGACATGACTCATCGGAAAAGGCAATAATAGTAGCAAACATAGAAGGAAAAGAGGAAGACCAAACATTACATGGATTAATCCAATAAAAGAAGCCATGATGTTTAGTTTGCAATAAAGTCATGCCTCGCTTTACGATTACCCAGCATTACGACTAATCTGCTTCACGACAATGGTCTAAATAGGGGTTTTTTGGTTTTGCGATGATCGGTTCCCTGCTTCGGGAACCAATTCTTCGCGAAACAATGTTTTTTTAACAGCTGATCGGCGGTTTCAAAATAGTCGCCGGGTAATTAAAATGGCTCCCCGCTGTGTTTAGGGATGGATTCCTTGCTATACAGGCACCAAAAATGGCCACCGTATGGAGGATCTTCGCTGGACTGTGAGTTTTTAGCCCATTGGAACACATTGAACGGTTTTCAATGCATTTCAATGGGCTTTTTAATTTTCGCTTTACGATGTTTTTGCTTAACAGCTATTTTCCTGGAACGGATTATCACCGTTAAGCGAGGCACCATTGTACCTATAATCTATAATCTGAACTGCTGATCTGGAAGGAACCCTATGAATCACCGAGTCCAGCCCCTGTCACGGAGATACAGTGAGGAACTGAACTCCCAACCTGTGGTTATGCCGCCAGAGACCTAAGCCACTGAGTTATCCAGCAGTTCCAGCAGACCTGAGATGGCATAGTAATGATATGCCTTTTACGAGCTCATTGATTCTTCAGAATTTCCTAAAAGGTAGCCATGTTTCTTCCTTCCTTATTTATTTTTCTTTATCTTAATTTAGGCTTCCTTTTTCCTGATAAGAGCACTTTGTCTCAGTATGCAGACAACAATGTTTTTAGTACATGAAAGCTCACAAGGAAACATGTCTGTTAGCCTTTAAGGATCCACATTTTGCTTTTCGCCTTGCTTTCATCTCTTTTTTTACCTTCATTTTCCTCCATATAATTTTGTCAACGTTTATTCTAAAGGCTATCGCTAGGTCAGATGCTACTCCATGGGACATAACAGCAATGGCAAGGCAGCAGCGTGAATTAGAATTTCAAGTTGCATGACTGTTGACAGAGGAAATTTATGTGCCATTATGATCCTTTGTGTAGGATAAAGGTGCTACTTATTTTTTGACAGAGGAAATTTATGTGCCATTATGATCCTTGTGTAGGATAGAGGTGCTATGCTCAGTCTTTTGCTATCTTCCTCTTCTACACCTTCCTAGAGTCCTGTGATTACGTATGTATTTTCAGTTTCCATGTGAGATAATATCAATTTTGCTATCTTCCTCTTCTACACCTTCCTGGAGTCCTGTGATTATGTATTTTCAGTTTTCATGTGAGATAATATCAGCTTGTTTGTTGTTTGTCCTTGTCTGTTGTCCCAGCCAGGAATTGCAGAGCTTATTATAATTAATCTGTTCTTGCATATATCTTTGTACTGTTACTGCATTTACTGTACTTCCACTCCGATACCAACTGCACTTGCTTATTATGTTAGCCACACTGGGTCTTCTCTTTAGAATACGGAAGCAGGGTTCAAATTGTATAATTGGAAAATTTAATCTCACGGTTCAATATAAACATCTCACAGACTTACTGTACTTTCTCCTCACTGGGAAAAAAATAGAGCACTGCACTTATTTTGTAGTGTTCTGTGTTTGCAAAAACATAGCTCAATGAAAGGAGGTCACTGCGGGTTTTCAACCTAAAACCTCAAGTTATTTGAATTAAGCAGATAAGGTGTTTTGCTCCCTCTCCTCTTTCCATGTATTCATCACCACTAGCGTAACAGCTTAGTGCTGGCCTGACTGCTTTCATTCAGACTGGCAAATAAAATTATAGTTGTTTCAACTCAAACAAAAGAATCAAAATAGTTTACTGCTGAGCTGATGTCAGAATACAATACCCATCTGGGGCACTCTGTATTAGCTGCCTCAGCCCCCCCATTGTACATCTTTGTAAGTGGTTCACGCAGGTCATCCTGAAGTAGTTTCTTTGCAAACAATGCTGGTACTGCCAATCTACCAGTTCCATTAATGAGTCAACAGATCAGGGGAGGGGGCGAGTTACTGTGGAATTCAAACACCACCCTACCAATTCTCAGTGCAAACTGCTTGTGCCTTTGGAAGCAAGCAAGAAACAGCAGCTTGACATTGTTAGGAAGCACTTATTTGCAGGCAATGCCTGGAGGATTCTAAGAGCTACAATTGAAGAAAGGAGCTTTTTCAAACTCTTGAGTTTCAAGCTGATAATGTAATCCAGCCATCCATTATCATTATGCAGGGCCATCATCTCCAGACAGAGGAAACCAGTTGTTTTTGAGCTTCTCATTGACTGCCAATCCTGGTTCCAGGTTTTTTTGGTGTGTGTGTGTGCTCGCTAACATGTCATCTGTCCCCCTTCCAGCTCTGAACAGCATAAGGTAGTTAGATCAGACCACCATTTTGATTGATTCTTCTGCCTAAAAGGTCAGGGCAAAGACGGACCGTGAAATTTGCTGTCTGAAGCAGAACAGCAAAAGGCAGCCCTTACATCCCCAAGTTAAAGTGCACTTGATACCCAAGCCAGTACACCTGAACCAAACGAAAAACAAAACAAAAAACCACAGCAGCCTGATAGTAAAAAACATACTGTAATAACAAATTCAATCACCAACATTTAGTTCTCCTTTCCAAGTGATTTCTTTGCTTGAAACAGCTGCCTCATTCTAATAGTAGGGCTGGTCCTGCCCACACCTAGGAAATAGTGGCTAGACCTAGTTTTCATGCTACTCAGAGTGCAGTGCTGAAAGAAAGAAAAGAAAGAAAAGAAAGAAAGAAAGAAAGAAAGAAAGAAAGAAAGAAGCATCAGCAGCAAAGAAAGAAAGAAAAGAAAGAAAGAAAAGCATCAGCAGTAAACATTTCAAGACACTGAGGTTAGTGACAGTAATACAGCTGCCATTCAAACTTTTCAGGTTGTCATTCCAGAGTAGTTTGCTGGAATCTTTATGTATTGTTCTATAACACATTAAGTAGATTTTTTTACCATGCTCAGGTGTAGCTCTAATGGACCTTCATCTACCCAGGCTCCCCAAAAGACATACTGTCACACTGACAAAAGTCACATGGATCACATATGATTAAATACAGAACAAACAGAATAGCCCACTTTTTTCTTGGCAGGGCTCTTCTGCCATTGAAACAGTAGCAATCAGACCAAAATGTCTAAGTGAATCTTAAACATGGTAGAGTATTACCTGTTACATTTTTTCCATGTTAATGGCGAAGTGATCCTGACAGAAAAACAAATGTTGGCAATACTAAGTTAAAATCAGTCCAATTGCGAGCTTTAGATTCTATTCAAAAACTTTGGGGAGAGAACCACACTCCACTCAAACCTTCCCCAGAGCAACAATTCTCCTGGGCTAAATTTATTTTGAATAGGAAATAAACAACGTTTCTTTTTAAAAGCAAATTGTCTAGAAGGCTTTTAATTGAAATAATATCAACTGTGGGTCCTGATGGCAATTTTTAGAGCACTGTCTTTTTAATTGTATTTTAATTCTTTCATCTTTTTATTGTAGTTAAATTATTGTAAGCCGCCCAGAGACCTTTGGGTAGTGTAGGTGGCATATAAATTAAATAAATAATTGTACAAATGCCCTGTCAGACCCACTAACCTGGTCCATTTTACACTTCAGTAAATGGGAACCATAGATTTTCAATACTGGTACGAGGAAAGAAGTTCCAGCCCCCCAAAAGAAGTTGTTTTAATTTATTGCAGCAGTCTGATTTAAGAATGGAAACCAAGCACTTCTTAACCCTTATATAAATTGGACAGTGAAGAGAGCTGACAGGAAGAAAATGGATTCATTTGAAATATGGTGCTGGAGGAGAGCTTTGTGGTTACCCTGGGCTGCCAGAAAGCCGAACAAGTGGGTCCTTGACCAAATCAAACCTGAACTGTTGTCTCTGGAGGCAAAAATGATGAAACCGAGGCTTTCATGCTTTGGGTACATCATGAGAAAGCAAGATTCTATGGAAAAGACAATAATGCTGGGAAAGGTGGAAAGCAGCAGGAAAAGAGGAAGACCAAAAATGAGATGGATTAACTCCCTAAAAGATTTGAGATTACAAGAACTGAGCAGGACAGTTGAGGGCAGGACATTCTGGGACATTTATAGGTTCACCATAGGTCGAAGGGGAATTCACAGCGGGTATCAAAAAAATCCAACAAATAAATTGCATTGCCTGTCACTGCTTAATAAACCAGTTCGCATAACATTTTTTCTCCCTTTCCGCTTCTGTTTTCCGATCGCACATCCATCCGTTTGCAACGGCACTCCCCCGCCCCCATGACAAGTTCTCCCTCCAAAGCCACGCTAAAATAATTCCTTAGGAAACAAGCTTCTGGCCATCTGCAGAGTGCCGGGGCCCTTCTTGCGGAGTTCCGGTCCAAGGAGAGGGGACCTTGCCCTCCTTCCAGCGCACGGCCCTTTCCTTACCTTGACCGAAGCCTTCTTAACCTGCCCCGGCGCCCGGAGCGAGCTGGGCGACCCGAGGCGGTAATTGAAAGAGTAGACGGCCGTCTGGGCGACCCGCGCCAGCTGCAGGGTCGAGGGGTCGCGCGCGCCGCGGGGCGACAGCAGCCGCCGCTGGTGGTCCTGCCAAATCAGTTTGGGCGGCGAAGGGCCCCCGTCGCCGCCTCCCGCCCCCCGAGCCCAGGAGGGCGAAGGGAGCACCAGCGGGAGGAGGAAGAGGAGGAGGGAAGCCGCCAGCCGCCGCATCCTTGGGGCCAGCCTTGGAGAAATGAGCCGGGGCGGCGCAGGCGGGCGCTTCAAGTACCCATAGCGCCCGGAGCCCTCCCCCGGCCTGGCTCCAGCCCCGGCGAGGAGGCGCCCTTCTCAGCAGCGCCAACTCCCCTTCCTTCCGCCTTTCCCGCTCCCTTCGAGGGCGTCTCGAGAGAGTCAGTGACCCCCGGGTCAAGAAACGCCCGGCGGCTGCTTCTGCTTCTGCCTGGCGGCGGCCCGCCTTCCCTCTCCTCAGGAAGGCGCGCGAAAAGAGCACCTGCTCCCCCTTTTTTTAAAATTCCCTTGAACAGGCTCGGATCCGTTAACTTTTGGGGGAAAACACCCTTCCTAGAATTCCCCCAGGGAACATTGGGGGGGAATTCTGTGAGGGGGAACTTCTCCCGAGATGGCGGCGTCCGCCTGGTTCAGCGAG